ATCACTTGAAGTTACTGCTCAGGACTTTTTCTTCCTTTCTCTGCTAAATTCCTACCAAGACTCATCTACGATTCATTTCCTCCCCATTCACTCACTCTTTGCTCTTCTGTAATTTGGCTTCTACCTGTGACCACTCCAGTGAGAATTGCCCTTGCCTTTTCCGCAGCTTTTGATGGTGTGGAACGTCATCTCCCAGGGATGCTTTCCTCTTTAGGATCTTCAAATATGATTCCTTTTTTGAAAAATTACTTGGTTCTCCTACCTGACTGACTACTCCTAGGTCTCTTTCACGGCTTCATTTCCCTCCTCCAGTGTGTTCAAAGTGAGGTCCCAAGCTTAGTTCTCAGCCCTATTTTCTGCCTAAGGCTTTCCCTTGGTGATGTCCACTTTCATAGCTTCAATTATCAGTTTTTACATGGCTTCCAAGACTATTCATCCAGAACTGATGTCTCCTTTGAGCTACAATTCTACATCTCCAACTACCTACTGGACATCTTTACCCTGCTGTCCCATCAGCAAGTTGGTGGCTCCTGCTGATTTTCCCTCCACAGTGCCTCTTGCTCCCCTTCCCCTCCTAGTCAGGCATCTCTCCATGACCCTAGTTCAGATTTTTTTTTACCTCTTCCCTACAGTGAATAGCCTTCCTTCTGCTTCTAGTCTCTCCCTTCTCCAGTTTCTTTTTACATATCTGCCAAAACATTCTAACGCATAATTCTTCCTGACTGTATTTACTCCATTGCTCAAAAACACTTCATTGGCAATTGGTCCATTGGAGGAAAAATACAGACTCATTAGGTGGTGCTTTCATAATTTGACTCCAACTCAGCATTTCCAGCCTAATTTCACTCTATTACCCTTCATCATAGTGGAAGCCAAACTGTATTACTATAGTTGCTCCTCCATCTTATCCCGGCATTTTCCATTCACACATACCATCCACCATGACCTTTACATGTACCTGTTGAAATGCTTCTCTTCATTCAAGGTCCATCTCAGGTGCCACCTTCTTCAGGCAGCTAGGTGGTGTAGTAGAGCAGTGAGCCTGGATTCTGGAACACCTTAGTTCAAATTCAGCCTCAGACATTTCCTAGCTGTGTGTCCCTGGGTAAGTCACTTAATCTGCTTGCCTCAGTTTTCTCAACTGTAAAATGAGGCTAATAAGTACCTGATGTTGTATTTCAGTTGTGTCCAATTCTCCATGACCCCATTTGGGGGTTTTCTTGGCAGACACCAGTGGTTTGTCACTTCCTTTCATTTTACAGATGAGGAAACTGAGGCAAACAGGGTTAAGTGGCTTGCCTAGGGTCACACAGCTAAGCTAGTTAAGTGTCTGAGGCTGGATTTGAACTCATGAAGATGACTTTCTGATTCCAAGCCCAATTTGCTATCCACTATGCCACCCAGCTGCCTAATAAGTATCTAGTAGTTGCTTAATAATCCCCTTTATGAAGCTCCTCTGAATTCCCTAGCCAAAAGTAATCTTTCCCTTATATTTCTTAACACGATTTAGAATCCTCCCTCTTCATCCCATTCTACTTCTTCTCATACCCATTAGGTTATGTCTTATACTACCTCCTCCCCTCTCCCCCAATTTAGATTTTTTTTAAAAAGTCCGTATGCTTCCATAGTAGGTGGTTGATGTTTGTTGAATTTGTAAAATGAGGAGACTGGGTTGTATGATCTCTAAGATTCCCCTCCAGCAACAGCATGCTTACCAAATTTTCAAATGACACAAAACATTCTAGATGGCAGGGTCCAAAAAAATCTCAAGCACTGGTCTCAACTTAAGACAAAATATGAGAAATATAAAGTTTTGTAAAAATCAATTTCACACGCAAGATGAGAATAGTGTGGCTAAGGCAAAGTTAATATAAAAAGGACCTAAACACGTTAGTAAATTCAATATGAGTAAAAAAAAAAACCTAATGGAATCTTAGGCATAACATCCAGAACGCAGGACATGATGGTCTCTTATCCCAGTCAAATCACTTACGGTGAATTTTCAATTCTGGAAGCCACAGGAATAAGAACCTGGAGTGTCCTGAGGATAATGAAAGGCTTCAAGAAGGTCCCATGAGTAAATTGCAGATGGAACGAGGGGTGTTTAGCACATAGATGACTTGAAGAGTGTCTTGTCTTCAAGTATTTGAAAGGTTGTCAAGTGGAAAGGGATTAGACTTTTGCTTAGCCCCAGGGGTACAGGTCCAATGGGCAAATGTTTCCAGTGGCAGACGAATGTTGCCAAAGGGCAAATTTAAACTACCTAATGATTAGTTTATGGGGTATGGCAATTTCTATAACCTGAGCTTCTATGGTAATCAGAAATGAGGACTGACAGAGGTTCTGTTTACTTACCAACAAGCATCATATAACCAGGTAACTCTTTATTCCTTATTCTTGGGGGAATTGACCTGGCATGGTGAAACACAGTAGTAGGCAGGGGAATATTATGGCATCAACGCGAAGTGAGGATAAATGCTATAGTGAGAAAAGCTGTTACAGGGATCACACACCAAGGATAGAGCCAGCTGTCCATCCTTCTCTGGTCCCTTCTAAGAATGTGTAGGGGTCCCACCAATTGATACCAGAGGGAGTAGAAAACATTCACTCCAATTTTCTTTACCAGCTAAGAGACCGGTCAGATATACATAGGTTGTGAAGGATGAGAGGAAAACAGACCGAGTGGGTAACTTATCACCCCCCATGCAGCAGCAAGGTTCAGAATCAAGCTAGGAAATAATAACATTCCACTCCATGGCCTTGAACCTCCTCGAACAGTATGGGGATAGGCTATCTCTGTTGGTGGGTCAGAACTCAGAGCTGAGGGATGGAGCAATGAGTTTAAAATGAGGGGTGGGGGATGGCCAGGGATAGGATCCCAACTTAATGGAAAATCCACAGGTATCCAAGTTTCCTGACCCCAGCAAGAAGACAAGGCTGATGTCTTTGGGAGGAAAGAACCAATTATTTTGAGCAGAAAACGAAGGCCCACAAACTACATCACTTTCTCCCTCTGAGGATAATAAACCCACGGGTCTAAGTCTACAATGGCCAAACTTACGTTTGGCTTCATTATTTATATGGCCAAAATGGAATTTTTTTCTTTGCTTATTTCTACTAAGTTATGGAATCCTGAAATAGGCACATGATTACAGTTAAAGTCTGCCCAAATAAAATTAGAGGAGAGAAAGGGCAAGTCAGCTAGATTAGTTAATGTGCAATAAATTCTCTTGTTCATAATCATAAGCTTTTGGATGAGAAAAATCCATTCAGTACCCCATTCAACTCACTCCTCCACACACAGAGACATGGCTTTTTATTAAAAAATTTTTAATTGGTTTACAAAGGAGCTACAGACTACATTGAAACTAATCTTTGTACAAAAAGGCAAAAAAAAAAAGTTCCCTTCTCCCACCCCACCCAACCCAGACAAGAACAAGAGGAAAGAGACAAGAAAATGAGACAAGAGACATATGAGCAAAAGGGGAGAAAAGATTGATGGACAAGAGATAAGAGGCAAGAGAAGAGGAAATAACGAGTAAAAAAGGGCAGGAGTTCTAGATGAAATACAGAGAGAACTTAAAACCATTATTTCCCCATAGAGCTCTGGTGGTAATCTGCTGGAAACCAACAGAAACAGCATGATATTGAGATTTTTTTTTTAAAGGCAGTTGTGTGGTGACTGGTTATTACCAGCGTTAGGAGATTAAAAAAATATCATCTAAAGTTTTAGGCACAAGAAGTTGGGTCACAGCCTTCAAAGGGGATGGCTGAGACTCATGAAGAAGCAGGTCATCCTGGGAAAGCTACCACCAGCAAGTCCTCCCCCCCATCTTTCCCCAGTCCTTGGTGACGGCGCGGGGGAAGCCATAGGGAGAGGGGCTAAGCAGCAGGATAGAGGCTTACCTATGCCAACCCTTCCCTGGGGAGAACACCAGGTATTGCATGGGAGAAGAGCTACGTAGCTGAAGCCTGCTTCCTGCTCCCCAGGAGGAAGAAGGCACGGTAGCATTTCTGAGCATTGGAAGGACAAATAACAGGCAAACATACCCCCTTTTCCCTCACACCAAGGAGAACCAGCAAAATAAATTCAATTCCTTGTTCTTCCTCAGTAACTACAGCCCTAGACCTAGCCTTGCCTGTGACTGATCTTTCTCTCTAATCCTGAGGTGAGACAAAGAAAAGTGTGGGGAAAAGCCAAACAGACTGCCAACATCCTATAATATCTAGAATCCCTAATAATTGAAGGCTAAGGCTGTTTTGGGGGCAGGGAAAAAGAAAAGTGTTAGATCACCCTGCAAAATACTAAGACTTCAGCTACCAAGCAATATGCCCTCCCTCCCTGGGCTGACCAGAACATCTCCCAACAACCTTCTCTTCAACCAGTTTTGTGGAGAGTGACAGGGCTTGGGGAAACTGGTTTGGTGTTGAAGAACTGGGTCAATCTCTCTCCCCAGATTGAGGGAAATAAGCCAGGGAGTCCTAAAGCCCAGGGTCTCAGGAAAGGGAATTAAAGCTAGAGTAAGAAATAGGAGAGAAGGATTTAAGCTTAAGGCAACTTACTTCTGCCCTGTGACCTTAGCTAGTGCCTGGGTGCTGGTGTTCAGAGGAGAACAGAGAAAAGAAAGTGAATCAACCTCAAAGCTGGTCTGCTCATCCTCCTTGGAAGAGGTCTGTGGCCTGGGAGCAGAGCCAAAAGAGGCACCAGGGAGTTTGGGCTCCCAAACAAAAAGTAATAACCTGCTCATATTTTATCAGCAGTTTTCAAAAGCAACCTTTTCCGGGGTTGGATGAATGCCACATCCTCCTCCCCCTTCCCAAGGCTACTACTGCCACCTTTCATCCCCTGACAAACTAACCCCTCTCTTTCCAAGAGAGATGGAACAGATTTCACTTTCTAACTTCCATTACCGAGGCTTCCCGGCCCAGGGTAGGGTAGGGGTCTAATTGAAGGGGTCCCATTCTAGGCAGTTAGACCATCCTCACTCTTTTTTTTTTTTTTTGGCACCTGCATCTCCAAGTGCTTTTTAACTTCACCCCAAGGCTTGCCAGGCACAAGGGATGATTGTAGCTGGGTGGAAACTTTAATCAAGTAGCACCTAGGCTCCCCCAGAGCACGACAGGGACCTGGATAGCACCCCCAACAAGGTCCCTCCAACACCTGTACCCCACCAAAAGGTATATAAATTTATTGCATTTCAGCAAAGATCTGCAGCTTCCAGTATTCACAATGTGAAGATATTAACAATACAAAATATATTCTGAAAGTCAAATACCTGCAGTTTATAGTGCTTTCTCAGATTTGTTACAAAATACAATGCTTAAAGTTTCCTATATAAGATATACAAAAGCAAAAAATATATATATATAGTAGAAATAAATCAGCCATATTAATTTACAGCTTTTGTACCCAACCCTCCCCCACCCTAAACCCCATGTCCATTACTTCTGTATTTCCTGAAGTTAAGGTGTGGAGGAAGGGACGGGCTGTTTATTCAGGTTTGGGCTGGGCTCAGGAATTACCCATTAAACTGCACTCTGTTCAGAACCCACAGGTCAGGGTGGAATAGGACAGCTAGAAGGTCCCTGAAAAGATAGTATGGGATATCTTACTATTTTGGGAAACAAGGGAGGAAGCCAAAAGGTACAAAGGCCAGGCAAGGGAATGAATGCTTTAACATCACCTCTCCTATCCTAACCCCTACACTGCCCCCCCCCAAAAAAAAACCACACACAGAACAGGATTGGTCATAAAAAAAAATGATCATACATCTCATGATGGAGGGAAGATGAGTCTCAGGATCAGTCTACCTGACAGCTGGATTAATCTCTGATGGCTACAACCTTAGGGAAAAGGGACATTCAGAAAAGAGCTTTAACTCCTAACTAGGCACAGAGCCCTTACTCCCTACTGTGGAGTCCAGGGACCTCAAGCTGCCAAAGGCCAACTCTCAAAAGTTCATGGGCCAAACAACATTCCTGCCCTGGAACCTCCTTGGTGGATAGAAGGCAGAACAAAAGGAAAGATGGGTTCGTTGTAAATTGATCCAAGGCAAGGATGACATATGCTTTTCAAGAAGAAGTAAACCCATAGCCTTTCACTCAACAGTAAGAACCAACCTCAAATACCTTTCCCAAAGCTTCACTGCCCCCAGTAGCAGCACTGAACTGGTTTTCCCCATAATCCCACATTGCTAGGGGAGGCTGTGCCTTGTTGAGTTGTACCAATAAAATATTGAAATATTCATTGGGGTGCCCTGCCCCCTTCCTTTAACGGATCCAAAAGTACATGATTATAAGTCTACACTGAAAAAATCTGCTGAGTTCTCTCCTGGAGCTGGGGGGAAGGGGACAGCGGGGAGGACAGGATGGTAGGATGATAGGCTGGGGCACAAATTCCTTTGTTTCAGCATAAACAGGATTTGGTCTGGGAAACAATCTTAGGTTACCTAAGATCCTTGCAAATGATTCCTGAGTTTGAAAACAGCATAAGTCCTCACCGAATGGAGCTGAACATGCTTCAAGTTAATCTTTAAGATATTAACAGTCATTGAGTTTCAGGTTAAAAAAAACCAAACACCAAAACCCTAATCTTGCTGGATTTTATATAAAATATAAGGCAGAATCACAGCATCATCTATTTGTAGCAACAGTAAAAAGACAATTTATGAAAAGGTCTAGGCCTCTGCTTATGGACTGGGACACTGTTTTCACTTTCACACACATATATAATCATTTCCCCTCAAAAAGTGCAGAGGGAGTTTAGTATGCTTTACAACCCCTTCACTTGCCTTGTTTCAAAATGTGACTGTTATAAGCAAAGAAGTGACCTCAGGGATACACTCAAGTGTATAGATAAAAATGGATTTCTATGAAAGGGGTCTTGAGGTGTTCTGATTCTAGAGTTTTTGATTCTTTTCAACAATTTCAAATATAATTTCTCTTATGTATATGTAGACATGAACACACACATAGACACACACATACGCCTGCACACGCACACACGCACACTTCACTAGCTCTATCAGCTCAGGGTAATTTTCATTTATTGCAGGTCTGCTTTAATAGTGGCTAACAGAAACTTTTCCCCAACCCAACAGATCCACACAGACACATCCATTTCTACACCTTGCTCACAGTGAGTGAAAAGCTCCCTGATGAGAAACCAAATGGTCAAAAGACACAAGGCTTTAGTGGCTGGGCCTTGAGGCCAATTCTAGTTGTTTCTGGACCTCTCAATGACAATAGCTTCCTGTTGCTGTCATTCCTGGACTCTCCTCTAGATCTGGGCCTAAAGGAAACGGGAAGATTTTGTTTCTAAAGACACTGGTGCCTCCAATGAAGCACCAGGAGCCACTCCTCTTCTGAGGTGTCATTCCTATAATCTCCCAGAACATATAACAGTGTGAGGAGAAAAAATTCTTCTGCTCTCCTACTAATTTACTGCATCCCAGAACAATCCTACTTTTGTCCCCAAATAATTCTGAAGGATTTAAATTGGGGTAGAAACATCAAATTGTGACAACTGTTAATAATGGAGTCAGAGGGAAATTTCTAGGGATGTTCTACGTAAAGAACAGTACTGCTTTTTAGGCAGTATGAAGACTAGGCTTTAAGAAAAATCAACCTAGAACTAACCTGGAAGCAGGTGAAACAAATTCAACTAAGTCTCCGACTAACCCTGAGGCTAGTTATTGTAAGTACCCTCCTGGTCTGGGCACATCCTTCATCCCCTTGTTCCACTCACTACTCTACCACCGTCTTCTGATGTTTCATATGGCTTGAATAATCCCACCACCTCTCTGTGGCCTACTGTCCTTTTTCCTAGAACCACCTGGTGATTCTGGATGCTTGAAGATGACAAAAAGGCACTGCCTCTGACTCTCTGGCTCCAGGGTGGGAGGAAGTGAGGCAAACGTCTCCATCAGTAGTTTCTCTGAATGGTTCTCTGACCCTGCCACTTCAAGCACTGGCCCAGGGCTCAGGGCTTCTTTTCCCATTTTACTGTCAGGACCAAAGATGACTCAAAAATACTTGGAGCCCTGGTCCAAAGAATACCATCCAAAAGATAAACACTAAATGATTAGGAGGAAAGAGGAAAAAGGGGTTAGGGGGGTGGGAGGAGACTATAAGGGTGTGATTGAGAAAGGTAGTACAGAAAGCTGCTCCCAATTAAAATGACAAAATGAAGGAAAAAAAACAATATATATATAAAACCTAAAAGCAGAGTATATGAATGCTTAATCTCATGGGAGGTCAGGACAGCATCTGCAGAAAGGCCTGGTATGCCAGGCCAAGGCCCAGCCACAAGGAGATAAGGCATTATCATAAAACTGACCATGGTATTTTGGTCACAGGATGTTCCTCCTCCTCCCTCTGAGCCTGCTCCCCATTGTGAATGTCTTTTATATACTTTATATATACACATATATATAATATAGAATCTGTCTTTTGTTAAAAAGTATTTCAATGATCATATATATATTTATCAAGGCATGATGGCTTTAAGGAAGGGGGAAGAGGGAAGGATCCATCATGGGGGAGGTAAGATAAGTAAAGCAGAAAGGGAGAGATTGGGGAAAGAAGTTTAAAAGGAAACCGTCTGGGGTCAAATGCTCCATGTAGGGTAGCGGGGTCACATCAATAGCTTCCACTCACGTGCCCCATTCCAGGTAGGGTACTAAGGCCCCAACTCATCTCCGGGGCCCTCCCCACACTTCCCATTGCTGTGCATCTTTAATGCCTCGTGGCTCCCTCTCCCACATGTCTCTTGGACCCATGCTACCTTGTACCCCAGGGTTTGTGGGTACAGCCCGTGTCTCTGGCACTGGGCACTTGATCTCAGAAGCCATTGCCACTGATATTGATAGACTGCAGGTCAGCTACCTGCATGACATTGATGCCACTGTTGGCAAGTCGGGCAATACCCTCTGGGCAGATAGCTTCCATAGCTACCATGTTGGTGGTAATGAGGGCAGAAGGAGTGGGAGTGCCACTGCCCTCTGAGCCTGCCCCACTGTCCAGGGGCATGGTGCCTACGCTCAGGGCCACTCCTGGGCCTCCTTTTTTATTCTGATGGGTCTTGATGTGCTTCGACAAATGGTCACTTCTCATGAAGCGTTTGGGGCACTCAGGGCAGGCGAACTTCTTCTCACCTGGATGAACAGAGAGAGGAAAGGTGAGGAGACATAACTTTGAAAAGGAGGTAAAGAGGGAGGGGTGGTTGAAAGACTAGGTACCTTGCCCAAACCTCTATCTTAAAATATGTCATGTTAGAAGGACCTAGTAAGACTATCCCAGAAGGTCATGTCATATTTGTAGGGCAAGCCTGTGTTTTTCTCCTAGGAGGCATCTCTATTTTACTCTAACTCCCAAAGAAGGATGCTACTAAATCCCTGAAGTTTTCACCCAGTACACCCTGACACTAAGCCCTTCTGTGAGATACAGGTAATCAGCAATCCCTGAGGGAATCATTCTAGTTAAGAAGCACTGCTAGGGTAGATGAGGAACAGGCGACACAAGCACCAGAAGAAGCCTTTCCCAAGCTTTGTCTGTTTGTTTATTTATCGAGGAGAGGAAAGAAGCAGAGCAGCGCTGCGGCTGTTCTCTTAAGAGGAGGAAGAATCGGTTCAAAGAGACTTCCTTCACTTCCAAAACAGCTCAAAACTTTGGTGTCTCTAGAACACTTTAGATCAGTCAATCTCCTCCTGGAAAACCTTTGTAGTCAGGGAAACCCATTCCCTCCAACAGCAGCCTATCCCACTGTGAGACATCTTAATTGTTAGGAAGCTTTTCATAATGTTGACTCAAAATCTGTAACTTTCACAGCCACTGGTCCTGGTTCTATACCCTGACGCCAATCATAAAAAAGTCTAACTTCTCTTCTACGTGAATTAGTCCACGTACTCAAGTTTGCTCTAGGTTAAATTTTTTGAAGCTCTACTTAGGCCTTTTGATTTCATGTCACATTATTCTCCTAATATATTCTCATCTCCCTTTCCCATTAAGCATTTCCTTATTTAAAAAAACCCCAAAATTTTCTAAAACCTTTATACTTTATTCTATAACATTTAAACCAAAATTGTTAAGTTGTTTATCAGGTTTGTCAGTATGTGCACATTTCCTGTTTTTCCAACTAGACTGTAAGTTCACCAGAGCCTCTAACCTTGGGGTTGAAGGGGTCTTTGAACAGCAGATGTTCATTTCAGGATATGGTTCGGACCACTTGACCAGGCTTCTCAGTTCACTTGCCTCTCAACAGATGCTCACTCACCTGTGTGTGTGCGTTTGTGCCGCTGAAGCTCATCTGAGCGGGTAAAGCGCTTTCCACAGTACATCCAGGAACAGACAAAGGGCCTCTCACCCGTGTGCCATCGCAGGTGTGCCCGAAGGTGGGAAGTCTTGCCATAAACTTTGCCACAACCTGGCATGTGGCAGATATGTTGCTTCTTTTTACCAGGGTCCCCAGAGCCCCTGTCAGAGAGAGAACACAGCCACCATTTGTCATCTTTTAAGATATGAACAACATGACCTCCTACCTACACACACACTCTCTCTCTCTCTCTCTCTCTCTCTCTCTCAATAACGCAAACCCTTACATACAAGGAGACCTGAGAAATCATACAGCCTAGGAAGCACCTGGGTTTATCTCTACCCCTAGGAAACGAGTAACATTCAAAATCGCCAGTGCTTGCTGCTTGCCCTGTATTTTTCTTTGGATATCGGCCCCTTATTGTCCTATATTCCATACTCAATTTCGGTGGGGCATCGAGGGAATGCCATCATGCAGAGAATACCAGGCCTGGAGTCAAGAAGACTTGAGCTAAATAAAAAAAACAACCACTGTCTCCCTCAGTTTCCTCAGCTATAAAATGGGGATAATAATAGCACAATGGGGATAATAATAGCACTTATCTCCCAAGAGATAGTGTTGTGATATCAGAGGAGATAAAAATTGTAAAGAGCTTAGCATAGCGCTTAACATAAATGTTAGTTGTTACTATCATCAAGGAATGATCATTGATAAAAGTAATTTGGGCAGTTTAAGTATCATTCGTCAGTCATCTAAAAGGATGTCAACAATGCCCAACTTCAGATATTACTAATGGAAAACACTATGACTTGGCCACTGATTTTTGGCTGGTTAGTTGCACAGGGAAAAGGATTTTCCTCTCCTTAAGCCTCTGAAATATTCCATAACGTATGCACAAGTGCTCTCCTAGGATGAAGATACAGCCAGGAAAAACTAAAAGCTGGAGGAATTGATTAAAGAAAGAACTAAACAAAGAACTGATTTTCTAAAGGATGAAAAGACGAAGAGAACATAGCCCTTGATTCACATTCTAGATAAGTGAAAAGGTTTGACATATTTTTAATTTTAGCCCTTCCCAATAGCCTTCCTTTCTTTTCCTCTTCTAAAACAAATGAGATTTATTTTGAATTTCTGGGAAGACAACTCACCTCCCTTCACTGTCTTTACAATAGGGGCAGGTGCAAGCCTCCCGACGTGTCCTCCGACCAGGCTGGGGCTGGGGGTCTGAGCTGGACTCTCCTTCCACCCCACCAGTCGTGTCATCATGTATTCCATCACCACTAGGCCCATGAAGGCCAAGTTGAGCCCCATGGTCTCCTGGAAGAGAAAGAAAAATAACTCGTGTACAAAAATATTCATAGCAGCTCTTTTTGTGGTGGCAAAGAATTGGAAACTGAGAGGATGCCCATCAACTGGGGAATGGCTGAGCAAGTTGTGGTATGTGAATGTAATGGAATACTATTGTGCTATAAGAAATGATGAACAGGATGACTTCAGAAAAACCTGGAAAGACTTGTATGGTCTGATGCTGAGTGAAGTGAGCAGAACCAAGAGAACTTTGTACACAACAACAGCCACGGTATGCAATGACTAATATTGTTAAACTGAACCCTTCTCAGCATTATGAGGATCTAAGACATCTCCAGAGGCCTCAGGACGGAAAATGCTGTCCACATCCAAAGAAAGAACTATGGAAGTCCAATCGCTATCACTTTATTTTTACCTTCTGTTGAGTTTTGTTTCATCTTTCTGATGGTCCTCCTATTGGTTTTAATTTTTACTTACAACTTCACTAATGTGAAAATATGTTTAATGGGTATGTAAATGTAAAGCCTACATCAGACTGTGCGCTGTCTTGGGGAGGGTGGGGGGGAGGAAAAGGGAGAAAAATTTTCAACTCAAAAGCATATGGGAAAAAAAACATTAAAAAAAAAAAAACCTCTTGTTCCTGTTATCACAACATTAGGCACCAGCTTAGCAACACTTTAACTCCCTGAATTCATGACACATCCCTCACTTCAAAATTCTGGGTCTTATTCAAAATTCTTCTAATTATCCAGATTTGAAATCTCATAGTCACCAAATGAGAAGCTTAAAGTTGGGTAGTCATTTAGTCCAAGCCCTGCTTGGTGGTAATGAAGAAATCTGCCATAACACAAGCAGCCCCTTTAATTTTTGGACTACTCCAATTCTTCCTTAAAGTAAACTGAGCTCTACACACTAAAAATACCCATCCATTATAAGGATGAAGTCTAGGAGAGCTATATTAGAAAATACAGGTGATGTAAAAACAGACAGCAATGAGCTGAGAACCCTCATCGGGCTCTCATTTCACCCGGATGACCACTCCTTGGTTGGATCTACCTCCATAAGGGCACTGAAGGCTGTTCTGAGCTCTCTTCTTTTCTCTTTATAGCCTCTCTTTTGTATTAGGTTTATAAGCTACTATAGATTCAATTGTCACCTCTATACAAATGATTCCCAGACCAAATATGCAGCCCTGGTCTAAGATTCAGTCCCATGTCACCAACAGCCTAATGGATACTTAAAACCTCTCCAGAACAGAACTCATTAGCTTTTCCCCAAAATCCACTCTTCTTTCTAACTTCCCTATTTCTGTCAAGGGTACCAATCATCTTTGACTCTTCACTCCCCCTCCCACATATCTAATCAGCTGTCAACTCATTGACTCTACCTCCATAGCATCTCTTTGTATCCATTCTCATCTCTATTGACACAGCTACCACACTAGCTGAGGACCTCCTTACCTCTAGCCTATACAACCACAACAGCCTCCTCACTGGTCTCCCTGCCTCCAGTCTCTCCCCTCTCCAATCCTTTCTTTATATAGATGCCAAAATGATATTTCTAAAGCACAGGTCTGACCATGTCATTTCCTTGCTGAAGAAATTTCGAGGGTTGCCTATTATCTCTAGGATCATATACAAACTCAGGCAGAATTTCAAGCTCTTTACAACCCAGCTCCAACCTACCTTTTCGAGCTTACCACACTTACATCTCCTTTGTGCTCTCTACAATCCAGCAAACTGACGTTCTTCTGGTTCCTCATTCACCACATTCCTTTCCCCCTCTCAATGCCTTTGCATAGGCTGTTGTTACCCCCTGCCTAGAATGTGCTCCTTCTTCCTACCTCTGCTTCTCAGAATCTTAGCTTCTTCATAAACCTTTCATGATCCCCCCCTCACCCCACCCCAGGAAGGGGAGAAGATATATTGTGTATTATTTATTTATTTATTATTTAATAGCTAAGGGCTAACATTTATATAATGCTTAGTATGGGGCAGGCATTGTGCTAAGCACTTTACAGTTATCTGAGCCTCACAACAACCCTGGGAGGTAGGTGCTATTATCATCTCCATTTTACAGTTGAGGAAACTGAGGTAAAGAGGTGACTTGCCCAAGGTCACACAGCTAATAAATGTCTGAGATTGGATTTGAATTCAGGTCTTCCTGGTTTTTTTCTCTGTATTCTTAGTGCCTGGCACAGTCGCAGCAAACAGTGGGCATTTATTAAATGCTTTTTCATTGGAGGTAAACTCCTACTTCCATGGTCCCTGATGCATACTTCTATAAAAGTAGCCTCAAATGCTCTTTCTTCATATGTTAGAACTCTAAGGCCTTTGCCTCTTCACCTGAACTGGTGTTTAGACAGGTTTCTTCCAAAATTCCAGCTAATTTTTTTTATCTGAATTTAAAACTTTTACACTTACCCTTACTGAATGTTACATTGTTAATTACAGGAGACCCTCCAACCTCTGAGGACCTTTTTGCATCCTGTTTTTCAGCTGGTTTAGGATTTGAATTCATCTAAAATGAATGCTCTTACTACCCTCATTCATCTTGGGCTTAAACTGGTTCTCGAATGTTTATTCTTCCCCATTCTGTTTGAATATCCTTCTAAGAAGGTCTACTTAAGTGTCATCTGATAATATCACAACATCTGCCCTGAGCAATGAACTTGTTTATCCCTTCCTAATTCACAGAATTTCAAGAGCTGGCACCCCAGACATTATCAAGGCTAGATGTTCTTAAGCTGGTGTCTTTGAACTTGTTTCACTTCCTGTATCTCAATATGATTTGTTTTCTTTGCAATCCTGTGTATTATATTCTATGCATTTAAAAACATAATTCTGAGGTAGGCTCCATAGGCTTCACCAGACTGCCCCAGGGGTCCAAGCACACACAAAAAGAGTTAAAAACCCCAGGTCTAAGTCAACCCACACCTGAATAGTAATTCCATCTAAAGTATCCTGATGGCTTCCTTTTCATATGGCTCCAAAACACTGCAAAGGCTACTCAGGTAACAGCTATATACATGCCTCCTGTTAAAATTTTATAGTTAAGTCTACTGGAGAGAATCCTTACACAATATAGACAAAGTTCCCCAAATCCCAAGAACATGTACTCTATGATTGGTGATAGGAAGTATAAGCATGACCACCAGAATAAATTCCTCTAATGATACTTTCTCTTCTGGGATATTTTATAAGCCCAAACTGCTTTACAGAACTTGCAAGCTCAAGTATTATGTCTTTTATTTATATATCTTTGTATCCCCAAAGAGTCTACTCTCTTATAGCTGGATCTAGCGAAATGATACTTACTACCAAGAGACCAGTGAAAGTAATGACAGGATATACAACTTATCAGGACCATTGTTCCTGCTTCTAATACTTCTTTTAACTTAAATTTGTCTTTCTTTCACCTTTAAAGTCACAGGGGCCACTCTAATACTTCTCCAGGTCTGGGTTACAACAGAAGCAATGGTATCTGGAAAAACTAAAATGAAATTTCCAGAAACCTCATTAAACCTAGGAAACATTTAAAGTTGGGAGATTTTAAGAAGAAACTTCAATATTGTGCTCTCAGAACACAAGCAATGCTGTGCTTATACAGAGAAAATATCTTGGCCCGGTGAAGAGAGGAAGGAGATAGTATTAGTGACAACACCCTAGAGCTGCGAACACCTAGGAGTTTACAATTTAGGGCCAACTACTTTTGTTGATACCATGGAAATTCAAGTCAGATCAACACACACTTAATAAGCTTCTATTATGTGCAGTACACCATGGCAGAGAAGAAATTACCTAGGATATGTGGATGTGACAGATATATTATACTACTTAATACCACTTACAACTAAAAATCAAATTTGTGAGAACTCATTACAATTTCTGAAATACTTGATCAAACAGGCCATAATGTTCTAAACCAATGGAAACACCTAGCATTTTCTGAGGCTGGATGATATTTTCCTTAAATAAAACAGAAAAAAGGGACAGCCAGGTGGTATAGTGGATAGAGCACTAGCCCTGGAGTCAGAAGGACCTGAGTTCAAATCTGACCTCAGACCAAACAAACTTGACACTTACTAGCTATGTGACCCTGGGCAAGTCACTTAACCCCAATTGCCTTAAAAGAGAGAGAGAGAGAGAGAGAGAGAGAGAGAATCACAGAATGTTAATGCTAAAAACAACCCAAGAGGGCCTTTGGTCCAACCACTCATTTTACAGACACAGAAACTGAGGCCCAGAAAGGTCAATTCATGTCATAGTCTGAGGGGCACACAGTCACTTCATGCTGCCCAGCACAGTGCTTAGCATGTTATGAATAGCTCAAATTGAAATAAATGCAGATGACTTACTTTTGGCACACTATAGTTCTGGCAGAAACTAGATCAGAACTTGAAGAGGATTCATCAGAAAGCATTCATGCTTCAGGCAGAGGTTGGACTAGATGATCTGTAAGGTCTTTTTCTAACATTAGAATTTCTAAGATCAAGGTTGCTAAATGAGTTATGGCAGAAGCAGGACTAGAGCCCAGGCCTTGTTATCTAGTTCAGTATTTTTTCCGCTAAATTAGGCTTTTCCCATCATTGTATTTATCCACATAATGGCTTAGGGACACACAGTGATAATTCTATAAGGAAACAACAATGACTACTATTCTGGCCTGCTCTCTGCTTTTCAAAAACGGAACTAGGAAAGCAAGGCCTATTTTAGTTCTGTTACTGATTCTGAATTCTTTTCATAATTAGCCTGCCCTTCCTTACTTGATCAATATCTGTCTTGAAGTTTTCTCTAGCTACTGTACATAGCAATGCTAGACTTATGAGATACAATGCCCAATATGTGTTTGATTTTGTGATCAAACTACCACTAAGCCCAACACTCAACACTTCTATTATTGCTGTAGGGCAGATTTTAAAAAATGAATTTAAGGGGGCAGTTAGGTGGCGCAGTGCATAGAGCACTGGCTCTGGAGTCAGGACGGCCTGAGTTCAAATCCAGCCTCAC